GGGTGGAAGATCTTTGGGGCAGGAATTGTTACCCAGTGCTGTGCTGATTAATCATCTGGCATGGAGTCTCTGTGTGAATATGGCTCCTTGTCCCTATCAAAATCCTAATAGTGAAATATTTTAAGGTAAAAACATCATGAGGATGTTACAAGCATTTTTTGTAGAGTATTATCAACCTGTGAAAATGCAGGGGGAGAAATTATACTTCAGGTCAATGTATTATTTATCTGAAAAATTTTAGTGCCTCTGTAATGTATCATTAACTCTACTCAAAAATGTTAATTAGGCATTTTGCTTATTAACATACCAGATCTATTGAAGCAACTTTTGTAAGAGATAAGCATATTTTCTCTGAGTCACGGCATAGCAATAGAATGGTTTATGTGGTGAAATGATGTGTTTTCTTACCTAGCACTTCGAATTGCTTTAAACTTCAACAGTAACTCTGAATTTAAAGATTTATGCTGCTTGTTTATTTCTAGGACTTTTCTAGACACAGTCAAAATGGAATGCTTTGTGAGCTGTGTGCCCACATACTGCATTTTTTTTTTTATGTCAAAGCAATACTTACCTGAAGTGTGTGCCTTTAATAAAGAAGACAAAAAGGGGTGGGAGGGTGGGACACCAGTTCTCCTGCATATCCCTGAGCTAATGCAGCAGAGGTTGGATGTGGTGGTGTTGCTGTTGGAAGGATAACGGGATATACCTTACCTCACAGTCAAGCGATGGCATTTTCTTCTGCCTTTAACTTGCTCTCAGGGAAGAGATGCAACACCTCGAATTCCCTTTACATATTTTGTACATGGATTGTACAGTTTCAGAAATCCATGCTGGAGCCTTTCATAAGCAGTAGTAATTAAGTTTCTCAAGGAAATTTTTTGCTGGATTATTAATTTTTTGCACCTTGGTTTACACTATGAATTACTACTAGATTGATACCAAATTGTGGTCTTTTGCCTCTTTGAATGTGTTTATACCAGAGCCAGGGACATTCAGGAAGACCTGAGAATTTTCCAGAATGTGTTTGGTAAATCACACTAAGATATTAGGATTCGTTATATAAACTTTTAGGTAGCCTAAACTATCTTGATGGGGTACTTTTTTTCTTCAGATCAATTTAAACTGGGAAATCAGAGCAAGAGCTGTAACTCAGTCTTTTAATTCTTACAGTTCACAAATGAGTAAGAGCCCCTGTTTTGTCCAGGATTTAAACTGTGAGTGGGTATCAAAATCACTCCATTTCAGAACAAGTCTAGCATAAATTTTCAGCCTTAGTTGTGAATTTCCTGACTTTTTTCCCCTCAAAATAAGCACTGCAGTTTTGATTTCTATAAACAGTGTTAGCATTTGAGGAATCCTCTTCTGACTGCAGATGCTAAGACTGGATTATGAGAAACAGGATGGCAGAAGATGTAGGATTAAGAAGTGAGTGGTTATGTTTCTAACTCTAGCTCAATTCTTTAACTGGCCTCCCTAGTAAAAGAAAGAAAGGGAAGATGGAGAGAAAAATAATGTAAAGGCAATGCTTTCCAGTTTTGCAGCTGTCTTGCTGGTACACACTTGTAAATAGGAATAATGTAGGTGATTTCTTTCCAATATAGAGTGACATGGTAATGTTTAATCTTAATCTGCATCTCACTCCGGTGGTTTTTTGGTTGGTTGTTGGTTTGTTGGTTTTGTTTTGTTTCCCCCCCACCCCCCCCACCCCACCCCGTAAAATGTGCCTGCAAACATGCCTAATGACCCTGGGCAAAATCTGTCATAGAGCTGGCTTCCCTGTGCTGGGGGTGCAGGGTGGTGGGCAGCAACGGGACTGCCTCCTGCCAAGAGAGTCTAGAGTAATTTTGGTAGAAGTCTCGGTAGCTCGGCGACTGCCAGCTCATTCACGAGGGCTGAGGGCAGACACCAGGGTGTCAATTAGGGAGCATGGTGCTGGAGCACAGAAGCACCGAAAAGAAATGTGAGGAAGATGCAGTCAGGGAGAGCCTGTGTCTGGGTCCTTGCACAGCTTTACCGTGACAGAGAAACTTGTCATTTTTATCAAAACAAAGTTGGTTTTAAACTGGCAAAACAAAGCTTAACTAACTTTTCAGAGACTAATGTTTAGGTTTATCGTGGTATATGTATTGTATATTTATTTTTTTTTCCACAGAAACCTGCTAATATTTTAGTTATGGGTGAAGGTCCTGAGCGAGGAAGAGTAAAAATTGGTATGTTTATATCTTTGATAAGTCCCAGTGTAGCATTTAAGTTAGAATGTTCTGAAGGTGTGGTTGTACCACCTAAAGTAGTCACTGTAATACTAGTATGTGCCTGGGCACATTGCCTAAATGCTGTTTTCTGAGTGACTGGCTTCTTGATATTAGCCCCATGTACCAGTTTTGACGATGAAATGCTGTAGCCTCATCAATGAAAAGTGGAAAATGTCATTATATGTTGTTTAAGTGGGTGTTGGGGTGGGGTGGGGGATTTTGATACGGGGATAAAGATGAGAGCTAGCTAGGGGAAAGGAGGAGGAAGAAATGGGATTTTTTAAATTTCCTCCATTTACTGCTGTAATGCAATGACATTATCTTGCTGCTGCTTATAAAATCTAAATAGGGAACTACTCATTCCTACAAACTTTAAATTTTATAATGGAATCAGAGTGGCATTTAGCCTGCAAGATGTTCTTGAAAGGGTAAACAGGTCCCTTGGAGATAAACACAAGGGATCTTAAAGGCCAGGAAACACAGTCATCCAGCCAACATGCTTAGTGAGAACTACTGCTAAATGCTCAAACTGGGGTGTACCGGGGTAGGAAGCACCCAACACTTTCCCCACTTACAGTAACATTTTCTGGTGGGAGTTACTGTTCACAGCGAGAGGATAATTTGTAGAACTTCAGTTGTTTTAAATTAAAGTAAATAAATAAATAAAAATTAACTGTAGTCTAACAGTACTAAGCTATACCACGCTGAGCGTTAGCGTGGCAGTGCTTTGCCAGCAGCCTGCTAATGCACAGCCTACTGATACTTGGTACGGCAATGCAGCCCCATTTGGAAGGGTTTTTTTTTTTAAAGCTAGTTCATCTTTTTCACTTCCCTCTGGCTTCCTTTATGAGATTATTCTTCTGCATTGTTGCTCTGTACTCTTACTATTTTGTTTATCTGAACTATATTGTTAATCACAAGTATAATGATTCAGGGTAGGATTTTCTTGGAGCGTTCAGTGCTGCTCTAGTCCTTCCCTCACCCTTTGAAATCCAAGGAGCAGACGGGCCAGGGCTGAACACTTCTGCAGATCCTACCCTGAAAGTTTTTAATGCCCTTCCGAGGTTTAAGGTTGACAGTAGACTTTTGAGGTCTTCTCCGTACAGAACAGGTACAGCACGGACAGTGGAAGGAAAAATTTCTTCCTATTACCTTATTCTTCAAGGAGCGGTTGCTTCCAAAATTGAGAACGTAGGTCATCCTCTGGGCATGTGCAACTGTGGTGGTGATATTTGCTGTACACAACTACTTGCTAGTAATTGCACATAGACCACCCATTTATTTCTTAATTGATAGTTTTGAATTAATTTGGGAATAAATTAGAGCACAACTAAATTTAGTCAGACTCTGTTAATGGACAGGTGAAAGATTCTGTATCGGACCACCAGTCCTCTGAGCCATCCGTTCCCAGCGGGGGAAGAGGGAGGGGGACCCTGGATTTCTAAGCGTGTTATCAAAATGTAGACTTTCTTTTCTTATTTTCTTAAGATATTACCACAGCAGGAAAAGAATGCAGAAGTTATACCCATACCAAGGGCTTCCACTTTTCCAGTGTAACTAATTTTTCTAAAAAATACATAACTGGTATTTAACTTAAATAATTTTATAGGCTCTTCGTGTCATTTTGAGTCATAAATTCACTTTCTGCCAATAATTTTCCTTATTTTTCATAGTTACTAAGTGACTTGATCGTATCTTGAGTGATATTTTAATGTAGAAAACTGTAAAATGTTTCTCTTTTTAAATGCATTAAAAGAATCATAAATAGGAATGCGTATGAAAAAAAAATTACTGAGGATTGTGTAGTCAAGTTAGAGACCCATATTTACACGGCAGTTTTCCCTCAACCAGTGAGCTATAGTGCGTAGGTCCTTTTCCCTTGGGATGGCTATTCCTCTCGTTTCATTCGAGTCTTTCTCAGCACGTGTATATCCCTGCACCACAGAGTCCCTTTTTCTTGGGATTTTTGGGGAGTGGTGGGTGGGGAAAGCAATTTGGTGGGAGAAGGTGCACATTTTAGTCTCTGCCCATTTTTTCCTCTTATCACTTAGATTTGGTAGTTCAGACAGCTTTCTAGGCAGTTGCATACCACCAATTCTAAAAAGTAGTTTTTAATGATATCATGCCCCCAAACAGAATTTTAAAATCATAGCCTAAATGGTATTTAGTACTGGTATCTTGATATGCTGGAAATACGTCTTGACAAAAAATTAGCAGGGAGGCAGATGCTGTGGGCGTAGTTGCTTTTTTTTGCGTGAAGGAAATCTTGCTACAGCTAACTTCACGAGGAGGGAGCTTTTGTGATGTGCATGTATGTATTATAAATCATTCTAACCTTTGCAGAACTTGCATTTTGCTCACATTTAAAATGCTGCTTCTTGAAAGACCGTGCTGTAATAACAGAATATTTTACCAGAGAATATCAGGTAAAATGAGTCAGGATTTACCAGTGTCCTGAGAGAAGTGAGTTGATGCGCTTTTTCAGAACAATGGTTAATTCTTTGTTCTAAATGGCTCATGTTAGTAATGATTTATAATGATATACTTTATAGGTGATGACATCCAGTAACTTCTACAAAAGCTTTAAGAAAATCTACTCACAGATTTCATATCTGCTACAGTCTGCATTTGTGTTTTATTTAGCACAGTGGTGGTAGCACTAACAAGTAAACTCAATCAGTTCGTTTAAAAAAAATATAATTGGTAGTTTGCCTAAAATTTCAAAGCATCTCTCTTTGAATTTTGCAGCTGACATGGGCTTTGCCCGATTATTTAATTCACCTCTGAAGCCTTTAGCAGACTTGGATCCAGTAGTTGTAACGTTCTGGTATCGAGCTCCAGAGTTGCTTCTTGGAGCAAGGCATTATACCAAAGCTATTGGTAAGTAAACTGGACAAAAAATTGACTATTTTGTTCTTTATGTAAAGTGTACCTAAATATTGAAGAGTTGATAAGTAGTACGAAGGACAGTTGCTGAATTAAAGGTACGTTACTGATTCTTGAGAAATACTAAACTTGTTTAGTTTACTGTGGTCTCTGGCTAGATAGAGGAAGGAACTGTTTCTGAGTTTGACTCCAAATGCCCTGCGATTCAATATAATTTTGTATGGTTTTCACGTAAGATTTTCATAAATGCTGTTAGAGGTTATACAAAATACGGATCATAGAATCATAGACTGTTTGGGGTTGGAAGGGACCCCTAGAGGTCATCTAGTCCAACCCCCCTGCAGTGAGCAGGGACACCGCTAACTAGATCAGGTTGCTCAGAGCCCTGTCCACCTTGTCCTTGAATGTTTCCAGGGATGGGGCCTCCACCACCTCTCTGGGCAACCCCTTCCAGTGTTTTACAATGCATCATTTATGGATGCATCTTTGAACTATTAGTAGACTCTGTATCATCATGATGAAGCACAGGGCATCCGTTTTATTGCAGAGGTTTTTACCTAGTGTAATAAATACATGAAATAAGGAATGCACAGAATGGAGAATATATCGGCTGCACTGAAACTAAACTGTAAAAACAAGCTGCATTTTAGCCTCTCTCCATGTCTTTTTCAAAGCACAAGTGTGAAAGGATTGCTTGAAGTAGTGAGATATGATCAGGGTCACACAGCAGGCTCAGCTGTGATGCTGCATCGGGCATATCCAGAAAAAATGAAGCCTCACAGAATGCAGGCACTGTGAGGATGGCATTAGTTACATCAGCTTAATGCTGCATCCTCCCCGCCACTTAATCATACTTACCTGTCTGAATTTTAGCAGCTTTGGCATGGTGCAGTTGACTTTGCTCTGCTGGTCTCTGCTCCTGCCAGCTGGGGGGTAGGGGGATGGCTGAGGGCAGGACAGGGGGAATAGCCCAGTAGTGGGCTGGAGGGAGGTTGACCTTTAGTGGGTGGGAACAGCTTTGCCATGGAAGGGAGAGAGACTGTAGCAAAGAGGACTGGGAAGTTTTTCTCTTGCTGGCTACTTTAAAAGATATGTTAAAGCCTGGCAACCATTTTTTGGGGAAATAACGTCCCCTGCAACGCTCCACTCGGTTTGCACAAACACGGCGGGTGTGTGCCGGCATACGTGCTGCTGTTTCTGCAACCTGAAACTCGTTCCTCAGACCTTCGCCATTATTTTTTTAGATTGTGTCAGTGTGTTTGTCAGAAAGTCTAATGTTTATGACTTTAAATGTATTTTCATTTACTTTTCTGTTAATACTATATTCTTTTTATAGATTAAACACATTTCTTTATATGTTCCTTTAAAATGGCTTTTTTTGTTGCATTTGCATGTTCCTTCATTTTACTGGCATTTTATTCCGCTTGCAGCATGTGAAACTGCATGGATGGTCATAGCCCTTAGTATGTAATTTTTTTCAGCACAGATGAAAACTGACTATACAAACACTGAGTAATGGGGTTATGCTCTCTGCATCATTTGCTTTTGTCCTTGTTCATGACCTTTTCTTGTTCATTCAAGGATCAGTGTAGCATTACTTTATGTCAGTTAAAAACTGCATTTGTATATACGAGAAAAAATTGTGAAAACAACTGGGCAAATTCAGGCTATCTGATTTTCTAGATTGCGACACAGCAGCGAAAACAGAAAGGGTTCTTTGTTTTTTGTTTTTTGCTTTTTTTTAATGAATGTTATTAAAAAAAAAGGGGGGGGGCGTGAGGTACGCAGGCATGGAGCGATTTTTCTTGTTACTGTCTTTCCACAAGGATTTATAGATAGCATTTGGCTTATTCCAATATCATTGCTTTTCAGCTTGTATTTTTTGGGTCACTTAATACTTATTGAACCCAGTGGCTGATCAGAGAGGGCATGTTTCTTCATGGGGACAGTAGGGCAGTGAATGGGCAAGATGCTGGTTGGCTTTTCTTCATTCGTATTTTATGTGTGGACAGTTACCCAAATAGTTTCATTTTTTACAGCAATAAATGGTAACTACACTTTGAAAACCTGACAAAAACTTGTATAATACTCTCCAAGCTCCTGCGTGGTTACAGAATTGTGTACCTCTTTCTGTAACTAAAAGGAGAAGTTGAGGAAGAGTTGCACTTCTACAGTAGAAACTTGAAATTTTCAATGCAGGGACCTTATATCTGATAAGCTAAAAACTAACATTCTACCTCACCAAGATGCTTTTGGAAAGATTAATTTGGGTTTTTTATTTCTGTTCTCCTTTTTTAAAGATATTTGGGCCATAGGGTGTATATTTGCAGAGCTGCTAACATCAGAGCCAATATTCCATTGTCGACAAGAAGATATCAAAACTAGTAATCCTTATCACCATGACCAGCTGGACAGAATATTCAATGTAATGGGATTTCCTGCAGGTACACACTGTATTTTTTTATCACTGCTGTTCAAAGAAAGATATCTGTATTGCTTTCTTTGCATATAAAGGTGACAGCTGATCAAAGCAACAAAGCTGTTCAAATACAATCTTTATTTCATGAATTCTAAATCTAGAATCTAATATTAGATATTTTTCCTGTTATTAATGATAGCATTATATTTGCATATACATGTGCCAATGTTTTATAATTTTAAAATATCATGTTTAATGGTGGATGATTAACAATCAGAAGGAATATTTCTGCGTTTCTTCAGTACTGATTATAGATTTGGAAAGCGACTGATGGTTGTATGAAACCAAATGAAAATCTATACATTTAGTGAATATTATGCAGATGTTTAACTCATGCTAAATTAACCATAGCATTTGGAAGTAGGGAAGGGTATTTAAATTTTTTTTTTCCCCTGGTAGAAAGGTTATGATATGGAGAAAATTTCTTTATTCCAAATTGGAACAAAGAACTGGTTGCATGAACCAAAACAAATTACAACATGGATATCACTTGTTGCATTTTCCCCTCAGTGTTGGTCATATTGTGTTTTTCTACAGGCTGTCTTGCATCTTTTCAGTTAATGCTTTGTCTTCTAGTGTTCACATCGCAGATGTCAGAGTAACAGGGGCCTTATTTTTACTTTTTGGTCATCTTTCTCCTCACTGCTTGTGTTCCCTGCTGTTGTCCATTCACTGTTAATAAACTTTTTCTTTACTGTTTTGGTGGACTTTCTTCTTCCTGTCACATGAATTTTGTGGGGTTTGTGTGGTTCTAGAGCTTTGTTATTAAATTTGGTCTTATTTATCTCTTTGACTTCTTTTTGCCCTGTATGTACTTCATTTCTTCTATACTGCTGTATGTGAGATTCCTGGAAGTGTTGCCTTTGCATATTAAGTACTTTTTTTTTTCTTGAAAATCCCCCTTAATTTTGCATCTTTAAGCAATACCGTCCTTTTCTGCTTTTAGCCTAGAATTTTACCCTTTTCTTATGCTTTTCTTACTTCATTTGGGTTTTACATTGTCTTTGTGCCACTTGCATAAATAGGTGATACTCTCATTATTGTTTTCTGATTGGTTTAAGTAATCCTTTCTAATGGTCTGCATTTGATTTTTGAAGGTCTTTGGTTCTTACCAAGAAATACTATTTCATTTAACAGCAGTAAATTTTTTGCTTTTTAATTGACACTGTTGCCATATTTGAAACAGTTTCACATGTCTTTGGA